CTGAATATATATATATATATATATATATATATATATATATATATATATATATATATATATTCTAAATCTGAATAGATAATTGTATATCTACATATATAGAAAATATGTAATTATACAGAATGTATAGTTAGAGTTCTGAATAGATTATGTACATATATGAAAATACATGTGTAAAAAATGTTAGACATCCATATATATATATATATATATTATATAAATATGGAAGATAAAATTCTGAATATTTATAGTTAATATTCTGAATAGATAATAATACATCTAAACTGCTGCTAATAAGTAAAAATCCTGAATATAAAGCATTAAATCTGAATATATACATAGTCACAAATGTTTGAAACTATTTAAAACTGTTTTTTTATCAGTGCCTGTATTTTTTTTGTGTGTATGTTCATCCCAGTGGAAGAAGAGGATGAAGATGGTACAGAGCGTGTTTGTGACACCCTGCTGATGTGCATCATTACGGTTCTGAACCACGGCCTGAGGAACGGAGGAGGAATTGCAGATGTTCTGCGCAAGCTCTCCAAAGAGGTGAACAGAATATAATCAACACAGCACACTCAGACATGAGATATGCCAATAAATCCTTTCCAGCGTCACTAATACTGTCAGTATAATCCATGTTTAAAGCTGTGGAATCTGCAGGCATCTGTACATCATGCTTTTACAGACACCTGCATTCGGTTCTACTCTCTCTGAGCATCTGTCTTTATGCTTTGAAGTGTTGCAAAATCAGTCACGCCAGCTTTTTTGTAAAAATTGCTTTTAGAGATAAAACACAGTATATAAAGTATAGTGTCCGTATATATATCTCCATTTATAACTCCCTTACTGTTGCTCCTCAGGAGCCCATGTTCCCGGCACGTGTCGTGTATGATCTCTTGTTCTTCTTCATTGTCATCATCATTGTGTTGAACCTCATCTTTGGTGTGATCATTGACACTTTCGCTGACCTGAGGAGTGAGAAACAGAGAAAGGAAGAAATTTTGAAGACGACCTGCTTCATTTGTGGTATGTCTTGTTTGAAGGGAACATATTTTGAGAAACAGGATTAGTTAACAGAGATTAGCCAATCATAACGGTGATCCTTGCTGTAAAACACAAAGATATCTAGCTGAATTTCCACGTGATTCAAAATGAGTTGCAGGTATGGGATTATTGAAAACGTCAAAAGATTCATTTTTTTCAAGTGAATCTTTCCACTGAATCAGTGAATCTTGGTATGATTCTTTAGGAAATTGGTATGAATTAAAATATTTTAAAAAATCATTATCCTGTTATTACAAATGACTGGAATATCAATTTGAAAAGTCAAATTGGTCAAAAGTTTTGGGAATCCTTGAATAAGTTGAGTGCTATGATGAAGCGTAAGATTTCAGTGTGTTCCACATGCAGAAGTGATTTTAAAGTTACAGTAGCAAAAAACTCTTATTCATAAGGGACGGAGTGAGGGCAGAAAATTGTCCAGTAAAATTAAATAATTTTTTTTAATGCTAAAAATTAAATGCTACAAAAGTGTAGAATATAGCCCTTTTAAAACATCTGCACAGCAGCAAACATCTTAGAATGGCTTGGAACTAGCCAGTGGGGCGACTAAGCAGATGTCATGCCCTGTCACATTCTGTTACTCTGACTGCCTTTGAATTTGTATTTGAGGTCTGTGACAGGGCTTTTTATTTGATGGATTCAACTATGATCATGGTGACATTTACTCCACTAAGGAGGGCATAAAGTCTATGTTAGAGTATAACTGATGTGGGAGAAAGTTTTATAGTGACTATAAACAGTGAAATACCATGAATAAAACAATTGATTTTGATAGACCGAGTGGGCTCTTTCTTTGAAGAACCTTTAATTTTTATTATCTGCTCATCTTTAGGCCTTGAGAGAGACAAGTTTGATAACAAGACCGTGTCGTTTGAGGAGCACATCAAGTCAGAGCACAGCATGTGGCACTATTTGTACTTCCTAGTCTTGGTGAAGGTGAAGGACCCAACCGAGTACACGGGCCCCGAGAGCTACGTAGCCCAAATGATTAAGGTTAGTTCATCACCACATTTGGTGCCTTGATACATTGACCCCTAAAATGTATTTGGACACGTTCTGGTTGTCATGTTCATAGTTAATGTGATGTGTGTTTACTCTGATGGAACACCTGTGTGAACCTGTTTTCATACATCAACTATTACTTACCACACCAGTTGGTTAAGCGTAAATAGGGAAGCTTGTTTCCACCACGTGAAAAAAGTCAGAATTGTGAAATAAACTTAGAACCGCAATTCTGAGATAAATGTGCAATTTGGAGAAGTCCAAATTAAGACTGCAGTTTGATTGCGAGAATAGTCAAAATTGTGAGATGTAAATTTAAAATGTAAATCCAGCTTAAACTCTCAATTCTCAGAGTTGTGAGATGTAGTCAGAAAGTCAGAATTGTGAGATGTGAACTCGGTGTATAATTTGTGATTGTGATATATAAATTTGTAGTTTTTAAACAAAGTCAGTATTGTGAGATAAAAAGTCATAATTGCCTTTTATATTTTTTGTTCTGTGGCAGAAAAAAAGCTTTCATGTAGTACATAAATGCAAAAAGTCTTTAAAAAATGTAGTTATAAGAAAAGCATAATTTGAATTACATAATTTTCTTATGTAATGCAGTGAAATTCAGACATTTCAAATGTCCAAATACTTTTTTTGAGTCCACTGTATGTTAATCAGCTGACTTCATTTCAGGAATGTTGTTTGTTTCGTCTCAGTCAGTTATGTCTGTGCCAATATGTCTGACATCATTTGACTGTCTTGTTTTTACTCAAGTTGTAATTCATGAGTAATTAATTAACAATGTGTCAACTTTGTCATTCATTCCTGAATAATATGTTTATAAATATTAAAACACTTAATGGTACAATGAACATAATATAACTGGATTCTTGTTTGCATTGTCATTTTTGACATTGTTAGCCGTGACAAACCAAGGACTCGCTGGGAAAGTGTGTGTGTGTGTATTTATGTCTCTGACTTGGAGCAGAGTGTCTTCAGTGGGCACCAGCAAAAGTAGACAGTGAACTTTCTTAAAATAAGAGAAAGACTCCCTTGATGAAGTTCCTAAAGTGTGTGTGCGCGCGCACTCATTTGTTTGTTTATATATGTGTGTGACCTTCTGTTTCTGCTGGTACCTCACAGAGTATACTGAAAGTAGTGTAGTAATTAGAACCCTTGTTAAAAGTGCTTCCTCTCTATGATAATGTGACAAGTGGGGCTAATGTTCATAGTGGAGGAGAGAAGAACAGGAGTCTGTGTGGTTTCATATAGGAAACCTGTTATGTTTTGTGCAATAATGAATATTGCACAAGAAGACTGATTTAAATGACCAGGCCCAAATAGAATTTGCACAATTTCGATTGTATTTACATACATACATACATAAAAGTTTGCGGCAAAAAAAACTGCCATGGGTACTGCTGCTTAAATAGCATCCCAGGACCACATGAAGAAATTAAAAGAAAATATAATGGTTACTTTATTGGTAATGGTAACATTATTGGTAACTACACATAATTGCCATACTTTTACTTGTGTTATTTTAAAGTTTTTATGACGTTACTATTTATCTGTTATTCTAAAATGTAAAAAAAGAATGAGAATGTTTATGTGCCATGACTTCAAACATATGATTGGCAGTGCATATACACTAATATACATTCAGACGTTTGGTGTCAAACTTTTAATGTTTTTTTAAAGTCTCTTAAGCTCACCAAGGCTGCATTTAAATTAAAATATTAATAAAAAAGGTGACAATTGTGAAATAGTCTTACAATTAACAAATAAAATACAATTTTAATATATTTTAAATGTATTCCTGTCATGGCCAAGCTGAATTCTCCGCAGCCATTCCTTCAATCTTCAGTGTCACATGACCCTTCAGAAATCATTCAAATATGCTGATTTGGTACTCAAGAAACATTATTATCAGTGTTGAAAACAGTTGTACTGCTTAATATTTTAATAAAAACCATGATGTGTATTTTTTCAGGATTCTTTAATGAATAGAAAGTTCGAAAATAACAACTGATTTCAAGTAAAAACTGTCACTTTATGGTCACTTGATCAGTTTATTGCATCCTTGCTGAATAAAAATATTAATGTAAAACACAAAAAATCTAAGTGCACTGTTAGTGACCGATGCTGATAAGCTGAAAAGGGCCAAAGGTTGCCCATTTTATCAGCCTGGCCAATAAAATGGCATGTTAGTAGAACGGTGTTTGTATTGTGTGGAAATCTACAGAGCTTTCTGCAGGCCCAGATACCATGCAGCCCTACTGATGACACATGGAGTTCTATTAGTACTATATTAACTAATTACTGTGAGTTGCTGCAAACACAAGGGCCCTCATTAAAGCTGAGATGGGAGAGATGAGGCATGGGCGAAACATAAATAACACTTGATTAGCTTGTTCCGTCTCATATAAGGATCTTCAGCTTTTGTAGTATAGCAGGCGGCAGGAAACGGTAACTGAATGCAAAAGTGTGTTTGTGTGTGTGTGTGTGTGTGTGTGTGTGTGTGTGTGTCTGTGTAGACTCCAGTCACCTGAAAACACAACTAATGCAAATCTCTGCAAACCAGCTCACCGTCGCTTCTCTGCTTGTATTCAAAAAGAAGAGTGCAGCAGAGTTTCAACTGCAAGTTTACATTAAAGCAGGTGTGTGTGTGATTATCACTCACAGGCTGCTGGAAAGAGACTGTGAGCAGGTACTGCAGCAGTCACAGCATTATGTAACCCATCTCAAGTGGCCTGCTATTAGCTCAGCCTGTCCTCACACGTGCTTTCCTGTCCCACACACACCTGCTACGCCGCTCATTATCACACAGTGAGTCAGGCGTCTCCTTGGCAACACCATCGTCATGCACTGTCGGCAGGAACGAGAATAAAAAACTCCTCGGCCTCTAGACTTGCGATCAATGCGAGTTCAAAGGTTACGGATTCACCATTGGATTCGCTTCTCCCAGCTGGGCATCTCAGGATGTGTGTGTGTGTGTGTGAACAGATGACTGCAGGAGTGCGTGTGCAGCAGCCAGCCATGCTAATCAAACAGATTATTGCAATCATGCTGCTATTTCCAGTGCTCTGAAACCGCCTTTCTATTACAAAACAGCAGCTTTATGGTGATGAGAGCCGAGGACACGTGATCGAACGATTATGCTGTCTGTCAGATGGGAAAAGAAGTTTAATGGTGCTTTAATGACAGCTCAAACACCTTTCCCACACACAAGTCTGCAGCTGCGTTAATGTGCTGAAGCGTATATGTGTGCGTGTGTGTTTGCTGTGAGGTGCTATTTGTGATTAATGTAATTTCTTTGACGTTATAATATTTTTGTCTGTCTTAGTTGCAGGTTAATTTGGTTGTTTGCATACACTACCATTCAAAGGTTTGGGGTTGGTAAGATTTTTTTTTATGTTTTTGAAAGAAGTCTCTTATGAGGATGCATTTATTTGATAAAAAAAAATACTGTAAAGATTTTAATATTGTGAAATATTATAACTGTTTTCCATGTTAATACATTTTAAAGTGTCATTTATTTCTGTGATGGCAAAGCTTAATTTTCAGCAGCCTTTAGTGTCGCATGATCATTCAGAAACCATTCTAATATGCTAATTTGGTGCTTGAGAAAGATCACTTATTAGTATCAATGTTGAAAACAGTTGTGCTGTTTTTCAGGATCCTTTAATGAATAGTAAGTTCAAAGGAACAGCATTTATTTGAAATTAAATTATTATATAAACATTATAAATGTCGTCTTGATCAGTTGTGATCAATGTGTATTTGCTAAATAAAGTATGAATTTATTTAAAATCAGTGCTTGAATGGATATTTAACTCAGAAGAAGAAGAAGTTTTATTTATATAGCGCCTTTCCGTAGCTCAAGGTCGCTTAACAAGTAGTTTTGTACATCCACACAAGCAATATGTACACAAATATAGTATAAACACAAGCAGACAAAGACGGGATGGTATGGAAAGTAAGGGGTAATGAGTTCCATAATTTAGGAACATTAACACTAAATGATTTATAATTGCAGTCTTTTAAATTCATTCAAAAATGTCGTTGTTTATTCACAGTTTATTCTAACCAATTACATAAAATGTTTTTACATAACATTACAATACAGTTACAATAACAATTACATAACATGTTTTTACTGTATTTTTGATCAAATAAATGTTGCCTTATTGAGCAAAAGGGACTTCTTTCAAAACATTCTAGGAACAGTATAGTCTAATTTGTTAACATTAGTTAATGCATTAATTAACAATGAGCAATATATTTTGTCATTCATCAACCTTTGTTAATGTTGCTCATTTTAATGTTACAGTTCACTGGGCATTAACTAATGTGAACAGATACAACTTTTGAACTTAGAAATGTATTAATAAATGTTGAGATTGACATTAAGTAAAATTAATAAATGTATTAGAAGTATTGTTCATTGCTAGTTTAACTAATGTAAAATGTTATCTAAAATCTTTCTGACCCCAAACCTTTTAACAGTAGTGCATATTCGATATAAGAACATGTTAATATTTTTCTTGCCTTGAGCTTGAGTGGGAAGGCCCTCATCACTGAATGTTCAGTGTTTATTAATCATGTATAATTTTATGATAAGTTATGATCAGTTGACCCTGACTAAACTCGCTCAATGGTGTCCAGGTTTCATGTCTCCTCTCTGGCTTTCTATTCCCCTCCTGCTGGCCGGTCATAACAGTGATGTTTTCTTGTTTGTTTGTTTGTTTTTTAGCCCCCTTTGTATCCTTAGTGAAAAATGGGGTGGTTCATGAGACTCAACCCCTCACAATCTAGTCTCTGTTCATCTGTCCTCACTTCACCTATGTTTTCCCACTTTCTTTAATGTTTTTCATAGATTCATAATGCACCATTCCCAGGAACCAATTAGCAGCATTTTATTCCTAATTCTAATTTTCCCTTTCTTCCTATTTAAGATCCCACTGAAACCTTCAGCAAAACCGAACTGCTCTTTTCCAGCAAGAGAGTCGCTGTGCCCCGATTTGATGTGAAAGTGTGCTTGACCTTGTTCATGTACCTGTTTGTTAGAAGAGCGGCGTGTTTATCCAGTGTGTTTTTCTTGGAAAGCCTCATTCCCTATTGTATAGCAGAGAAAAGCACTGTGTTCGAATCAGAAGACGCGTGTGCCCAGGTGTCACCTCGTGAGCGTGTGTTTCATGATTGTGTAAGGGAAGGCAGTCTTTTCCCACCTCTAAACATATCCTGGAACTCGTTGTGCACCTTGAAGCGCTTCTGTCAGGCTGACTGTGAAAAGCACCTTACATAACTGCTGTGATGAGCCACCGCTCGGTTACCCCCCTCCTTATCTCACACACCCCAGACTAGATAATATATACAGCTCATATATACACACTAATCACACACACACTCACACACAGCAAATTGTAGAACGCAAACAAATATCTTGTGCGTGAGCTACTGTGTGGGCACACACACACTTTACAAGCAGAATGACTCACTGTTATTATCTAAAACACAAAAAAAACTCTTGACTGCGGTTCATTTGCATGACTACTTCCTGTTTCTAGAGCGATCTTTGCATCCAGGCGTTTAAAGTGTCCAGATTTACCTCTATATGCTTTAGCTTTTGAAGGAAAAGCTTGAGGGAGTTTCAGCACACTGGCTCATTTCATGAGCTTGCTTTTGCATGTAAATATGGGTCATGATGATCAACTTTGTCATCCATGCTCTAGTCTAGTCAGGCGATAGTTCGCAGCACAAAGCCATTTAAAACGTTTTAATGTAGTCTGGGTCTCATTTTCTTTTACTTTGTGATGTCAAATATCCTGTCCCATGTTGACATCTAAAATGAATAGATTCCTCCAAGCGATTAATTTGTGTTCTGATTAATTGAACTTTGCATGGTGGGTCAGAAAGTTCTAATACTTTTACACTTTTAAGACTTTTACATTGTTACAAATAAAAATCTATTTCCACAAAAAATGTAAGCAGAATTGAATGTTTCGTAAGCAGCAAAACAGCTTATTAGAATGATTTCTGAAGAATCATGTGACACTGAAGACTGGATTAATGACGCTGAAAATTCAGCGTTGCCATCAAAGGAATGAATTGGATTTTAAAATATATTATAATAGAAAACTTATTTTAAATTGGAATAATATTTGACAATGTTACTTTTTTTTTTTACTGTTTTTTTTTAATTTTTTATAAATGCATCCTAGGTGAGCATAAAAGACTTTTCAAAAATATTAAAAATCTTTTTACACCCTAAACTTCAACAGCAGTGTAAACTTACTGTGAAGCTTCTATCCACAACCTGATCAAAACAGATTTGTGACCCATTTTTGAGGGCTACCATTTTCCACTGCTTTTTAGAGTGGCAGTTTTTTGGTGGCAACCATAGACTGTAAAAAAAACATGGACGTAGTGTCCGTGACGTCACCCATAGGTTTCTGAAGAGCATTTTTGAAGCTCAAAGTGTGTGGAGACGGCCGTCGCCATCTTGGCTGCGCGTCACTCCCGAGTAATCGAAAATGGGCAAAAAGGCGGGAGGTGGGTGGAGCTGGTTGCTGAAACCACACCCGCCTCGCGCGACGGTGGTGACACAGCAGCGGCAATCCACCTGTCACTCAAGTGGCCACGCCCCTAATTTTGCTGAACTTTAAGGCTTAATATAATTTAAATGGATGAGTTATAAAAAAAAAAATCACCCCCCTCACAGTTGTCATAAAGGGCAACATTTGCTATATAGACCAAAACCACTTTTTGTACCAGGCTGTAAACAAATTTTTTTTCTGCTGTAAAGTTGGGCATTTTAACATGGGGAGTCTATGGGACTGACTTCCTTTTGGAGCCAGTCTATAGCGGCCAGTCGATGAATTGCAGTTTAAGTCACTTCCGTGTTGGTTTCAATAGAGAGACCGGAAGGTTGGTGGCAACATGCTGTGCTTTAGTGTACTACAGACTTTAACTGCAACTGTTATGCAACAAAACTCTGCTGCTTCACTTGCACTGTAGAGTGTGAGACTGTCAGCAGGGTAAAACATCCTTCAATAAGTAGTGTCGTTAAATCCTAGAGCCATTAAACCCGCTTTTGTAACTCATTCATCACATTCAGCAATGATTTTGAAGACAATTACTCGTAATTTCAATCATTCCTGTTATTATGTATAATCTCTAAGTCTCAGTTTTTCTGAAGACTGTTATTGTTTTGTAGTTTTGTCGTTTTTTAAGTCATTATTCCATCATGAAAAAATATCACTTTTTCAGTATTATTGGTTCTGAAAATATTTTTTCTATTAATAAAAAAAACAAAAAAAAACTGAATATTCAGCATCCATTACTCCAGTCTTTAGTAGTTGGGTTTCCATTACAGATTTGTGCAAAACTTTTGCGATATTTTATAAATGTCGATTAAAAACTGTGGAGACGGCCGTCGCCATCTTGGCTGCGCGTCACTCCCGAGTAATCGAAAATGGGCAAAAAGGCGGGAGGTGGGTGGAGCTGGTTGCTGAAACCACACCCGCCTCGCGCGACGGTGGTGACACAGCAGCGGCAATCCACCTGTCACTCAAGTGGCCACGCCCCTAATTTTGCTGAACTTTAAGGCTTAATATAATTTAAATGGATGAGTTATAAAAAAAAAAATCACCCCCCTCACAGTTGTCATAAAGGGCAACATTTGCTATATAGACCAAAACCACTTTTTGTACCAGGCTGTAAACAAATTTTTTTTCTGCTGTAAAGTTGGGCATTTTAACATGGGGAGTCTATGGGACTGACTTCCTTTTGGAGCCAGTCTATAGCGGCCAGTCGATGAATTGCAGTTTAAGTCACTTCCGTGTTGGTTTCAATAGAGAGACCGGAAGGTTGGTGGCAACATGCTGTGCTTTAGTGTACTACAGACTTTAACTGCAACTGTTATGCAACAAAACTCTGCTGCTTCACTTGCACTGTAGAGTGTGAGACTGTCAGCAGGGTAAAACATCCTTCAATAAGTAGTGTCGTTAAATCCTAGAGCCATTAAACCCGCTTTTGTAACTCATTCATCACATTCAGCAATGATTTTGAAGACAATTACTCGTAATTTCAATCATTCCTGTTATTATGTATAATCTCTAAGTCTCAGTTTTTCTGAAGACTGTTATTGTTTTGTAGTTTTGTCGTTTTTTAAGTCATTATTCCATCATGAAAAAATATCACTTTTTCAGTATTATTGGTTCTGAAAATATTTTTTCTATTAATAAAAAAAACAAAAAAAAACTGAATATTCAGCATCCATTACTCCAGTCTTTAGTAGTTGGGTTTCCATTACAGATTTGTGCAAAACTTTTGCGATATTTTATAAATGTCGATTAAAAACCTATTGCGAATTTCCATTAACCCATGTTAAGTGACTAAAACGTAATTTTTTCCTCTAGTGAAAATCATGGAGATGGATGTTCGTAGGTTTACGTATATTGCAGCCACCGCACTAGCTATTATTTTTAATCAAAGTAGACATAGGCATGTATCTTTAGCGAAGCAGTGCGGAGAGCTGCTTCTGGAACGCTTCTGAAACATGCCGCAGCGCAGCTGGTATAAACACAAGCATTGACTAGAGTGGCCAGTGGCTGTACCAGAGCCATAACGCAGTGTAAAAAAGGGGTTATCCCAGCATTAATGGCAAGGAAAGTGCTTTATACTTGAGAGCGGCCACGTACGAGGTGTTTCTTGGAGGTTATAGTGCATTAAAGAATGATCATGTGACTTTTGCATATGGCAGGTGACCTGTAAATGTGAAAAAAAAATTCCATTGCAGTTTTGCAATTTATATTCATTCTTCGAATTTTTGCTAAATTGATGTGTTTCCATTAGACAAATTTTCAATTCGCAATTTCAATTTGCACAATTTGAAGGCTAATGGAAACGCAGTGTCACATGATCCTTCAGAAATCATTCTGCTCGAGAAACATTTCTTATCAATGCTGAAAACAGCTGTTGCTTAATCACAGTTCCTGTTGCTTAAAATATTAAGTAGAAGTGGAAACTGATAATTTTTTCAGGAGTCTTCAATGAATATAAAGTTCAAAGGAACAGCATACTGTCACTTTTGATCAACTTACATGCTTGCTAAAGAAAGGGATTAATTTCTTTTTTTTTTTAATTATAAAAGTTTACTGAATTGAATGGTAATGTAAATTTGTAAAATCCAGTGTCTGAAAGATGTCTACTGCAAAATAGTTAAATGCTATTTCATTTATAAATGTTTGGGAAGTTTTCCCAGAGACATTCACATCTCTTTTTTTCCTTCAGGAGAAGAATCTGGACTGGTTTCCACGGATGAGGGCCATGTCCTTGGTAAGCTCTGAGGGCGAGAGCGAACAGAATGAGATCCGATCGCTGCAGGAGAGGCTGGACACCACTGTCGGTCTCGTGGCTCAGCTGTCTTCCCAGCTGTCTGAGCTTAAAGAGCAGGTAACATACAGCACGCCGTCCAATGGGACAGCCCGGTTTCACAGAGCCAAACAGTGTTTTTCTTCACGGGGCCTCTGAAGTGTTTACTATTAGGCCCTGCTGTGGAAGTGCGTCAGAGCAGGGGTGGGGCGGTGCCCCGGGGCCATATGGATGTTCCGGCTGTGCTCCGCTGTGTCGGATCACGGCCATCACCTGCCTGGCCCACATGTGATTCCACACAAACAGTTTAACCGATTCACATGACACGGAGAGGGAGAGCTTTGGGTTCTAATGGGATGACGCTGGAAGGAAATTGCTGCCCCATGGCTCCTTTTTT